TGGGGAACCAGCAGTTAGCGTAATGGCTATGTCGCTGGATTCCCACGTAGTCGACCGCGGTTCGTGTCCCGGACCCAGTGGCTTAAAACTCACACCGGGCGCGTGTGCGTGCGTGCCCAAGATCCCGAGAGGAGAATGGAGGAGAAGGGATTGCGGCTTATGTAATTATTTTGTAGTAGTAAATCGGGGAATCAGAGGGGGGGTCACTTCCAGCAAGGCTATCACAGTCCCAGAGCGAATAGCAAGCAGCCTTGCCGACATGCTATATGACCCAAGCTTGTTCCAAGGTTGGGGGGCGTACAGTCGCGGCCTTGCCAACTTACTGAACCGACCGGAAGCGATGCTCAAAGGTCAAGGGGCTCAGACGGGTCCTGGAGCCCCACCGGATTGGACTCCTCCACCTTCTCTGAATATATGCTGCTTTTTCAGAGTTTATTATAATTTTTACTTTCTTGAGATTAATATAAGCACCTCCTTCAGGATCTCACATCACAATGCCCAGTCTTTTAGGCAGCCAAGATCACAGTCACAAACATGCAACCAGTATGTACAGGTCAACCCAGAACAAAACTCTAGTTAGTCATCCATGTGGCTTCCAGGATTACAGAGCATTGCACTACTTTAGTTAGAGTATATCCTACTTTCTAGGAGGTTACCATACATATTGCAGCCACCTCAGGAATCTGATTTCTGTTGACTCCACCCTCAACTCTCTGGACTCCACTTCCTGGTGCAGGTTTGCAAATTGCTCCAGTAGAAGGCTAAGAAGATTCCACCTCTGTTTCCTGCTGTGAGGGTCAAAGCCTCTGTTGTCTAAGCCTGAAAGCAGTGACCTCATGTTTTCTGACCATACTTCAGAGTCATTTATGGCAGAAGTGTAAGCCAGACTGTTACATAACAGCTAGACCTTAAATCACATTCAACAAAAACTTGTTTCACAACTTAATTTTTAATATAGAACTCTCCTCAAACTTAGACAGACTGCACCAAGTTTTAGATTCTAAAAGATTTATGGTAAAATAAATTCCAAGCCAAATTTATCACTTTTTTAAAGCAGATTTTCGCTTTTACTTAGTTTTGAATATGTCATACATTCATATGACTTCAGATTTTAAAGATAACAAAGGGTACATGTTTTATTTTTTTAAACCATATCTGTTCATTTATCAGGTTTTATCAATTCATTTATGATACTAGTGACTTCAAAAACAAAGCACTAAAAATTACCAAAAAATTGTAGAGTTCCTTTTTTATTTTTTGGAGAGTTTTTTTGCTATACAGTGTGTGCACTTGCCAGAAAGAGACAGAGAGACAGCAAACAAATCACCCCCAAGGGGAGATGGCTGTGTCGCAGTCCCTTCTCCTCGACTCTCCTCTCAGGATTTTGGGCACGTGTGCACATGTGCCCAGTTTGAGTTTTAAGCTACCAGGTCCAGAACTCAAAACGTGATTAACTACATGGGAGGCCAGCGACGTAGCCATTATGCCATCTGTTGGTCCCTGTAGAGTCCTTTTAGACTGTTAAAATATCACTAGATTTTGGACCAGCGGATGGTGTAGTGATTACGTTGCTGGACTCCCATGGTGTTGACTGTGGTTTGAGTTCCAGACCCAGTGACTTAAAACTCACAAGGGACTGGCAGGTGGTGGTTAAGGTGACTGGACTCCCATATGACTGGACTCCCATGACTGACAGTGGTTCAAGTCTCAGATCTGGTGGTTTACTTTCTCCCTTTCCTTCCCTCTCTGTCTCTCTCTGGTCAACTTTAAAAAATAAAGTAATGACAATGAATAAAATTAAATAAAGTAATTCTTAAAAAAAAGGGGGGGGGACCAGCAATAGCTATATTGCTGGACCCCCATGTAGTCAACCACAGTTCGAGTCCCGGACCTGGTGGCTTAAACTCACACTGGGCTCATGTGCGTGCATGCATGCCCAAGATCCCGAGAGGAGAATGGAGGAGAAGGGATTGCGGAGTGGCCATCCCCCCTGGGTGGTGATTTCTTGCTTTCTGTCTCTCTCTCTTTCTGACAAGCTCACATGCCCTATAGCAAAAACCTCTCCAAAAATAATAAATAAAACAAAAACAACTCATGCTGAGCCTGTGCATGTACATGCCCAAAATCCTGAGAGGAGAATGGAAGAGAAGGGATTGTGACATGGCTATTCCCCCAGGGGATAGGTATTAGCTTTTTATCTTTCTGGCAAGCGCATGTGCCCTATAAGCAAAAAATCTCTCTTAAAAAACAGGCACCAGATTTAAAATACCATGTAAACTGTGGTAATGTATAGTTTATCCAATGCATAAATGTGTATGTGTTTGCATTTATTTTCAGAATCAAGGTACATTTTAAACATTGCAGTATTTAAAAATATCAAAATACATAAAATATAGAAATTGCAACTCTTGCAGCAATTCAGGAGATTAATTTTTAGAAGCTAGTTTAATGCCCTATCCTTTAGAAAAGTTGCATTTGTTTCCTTTTCTTTTTTATACCTAGCTAACCTTATCATTGTACTGAAATACTCTGCATTAGCACATTTATCATATTTTACATGAGCTGACTTCTTGGAATGACAGTAATTGAGTCTGTCATTTTATATCACTTTTAATATTTAATCTTAGTTTTACTATTTGGCTAATATGAAATACATTAAACATAAAGCAAAGGGAAAATTTTGCAAGGATTCAAAGGACAACACAGACTGTTAAACAGCCATCTTTTTTAAAAGAAACAAATTATTTTATGGGAAACACAGAGGAACTCTGACAAGGTCTTGAGACACTGCCACTTCCCCTCCCAACCAAGTCTTCCAGTCAGTCAGGAACACAGGTACACCTGGGGTGTACAGGTCAACCCTAGATCCACACCCCAGGTCTTCCCATATGATTCTGGCATCTCCAAACAGGTGCCCTGCAGCTGGGCTTAGAAAAAAAAAAAAAAAAAAAAAAAAAAGCAAGCAAACAAACAAAACCCTGAAAACATCAAAACAGAGTGATAAGTCAATAGAAATTTAAGGTGACTTGCAATCAGAGCAAGTCAGTGATAAAAGGACACTGGAGAAAGCCAGGAATAATATGAGAGAACCACAGTGGTTACAAATGAAAAAGTCCCTATGCTTACCAGGCAAATGGTGCAGGTCAACAGGGTTACATTTTAGAAAGTAAGTGGAGACCAACTGGAGTTTACAGACTGAGACATGATCCTCCCTGCACATAATCATTAAATATTTTAATACAAGTAAACAATCTTAAAGAGAAAAATGGATTTACTTTTGAGAGATTTTCACTGTAGGGCGCGTGTGCTCGCCAGACAGACAGAGAGAGACATAGAGACAGAAAGCGAGAAATC